GGGCATTAATTGTAATATTATCTTGAGTCTGATATTAGATGAAGCATTATTAACAATTATTAACTTTTGAACACGTATCTCATTCACCTTAAATCAGTTGCTTTTTAGGCCGTCAGTCTACGGTTTTTGTGTATAAAATACTGATTAGAAATAAAATTCTTAGCAAGACTCGAACGCAAAAGTCTAGATCAATAATGTGGTTGGGTCATTTATTTTCTAATTATGTAAATTTTTTATAGCCTGTGACGACATGCACCATAAAAACGGTGTCGTTGTATGACGGGCAAACAATGGTTTTCTTGCAAATCGTAAGGCAATTATAGAAATTGTGATCGGATGACCAATACAGTTTGCAGAGGAATGTGCGCCAGTGTTTACCCGTAGGTTTGACAGGAGTCGATAGAAAATGCTTAATTCTTCGGAAATGGAGCTGAGAATTTCTAGAATAGGCAATCATGATGAGAAAGGATTAATTCCAGTTGACTCTGATTATATTTGATCGATATGAGAAATACACTCAAGAGACACATTTGTAACTTGAGCCAATAAGCTGACGTCATTTATCTCTCTCTCAAACACAGACACACAGAGAGAGACACGCACACAGACAAACACAAAGAGACACACACACATCCACACACACACACACACGTACATATATATATATATATATATATATATATATACGAATTTTATCATGGTAGATTCGTCAGGAAGGCGATCTGGGGAGGGTACCCCAGCGTGCGGCACCTTTGGAAAGTGCCTGAAAACCATACCACTGGTTGGCCGAAGCCTTGTGAATGAAATTGGGTTGAATTATTTGGGAGTCGCAGATGGCTGAGCTAGCATAAATTTACAAGTCATCATGACTGAGTGTTTGAGCTTACTAACCTTGTCCAGACTGTTGACATCCTAGTTGCAATACAAACCACTGGGAGCTCTTTGGGAGTTGAAAAAACACGAATGTGCCTGAGCAGGCGTCTGCAACCGGGATTGGCTAGCCGCCCTAGCAGACAGACATACGCGAATACGAGCGGAAAGCCGTTAGCATATTTGATGCATAATATTAAAGATTACCTCTGGACTCATTTATATCACACGAATAAGTGTGGGGGAGGGTATTAAAAAATTCCCGCTTTGACACACATCTGCCTTTGAACGCGCGATAAACACAAATGATTTTAAATATATATATCACTGCACTTGATTCTACTTCTACTTCTTCTAAACATCGCCCGCCCTGTCAGCTGAGCCTAAGAACACTCTGCTTATCATGATTGGCTGGATAGGGAGTGATATAGAAAAGACAAACCATACTGCGAGCTACAAGGGATAGGAGGTTGTGGAGATGTATGATCGCCCACGTCCTCAAGGAACATGACATACTGAAGACGAATTTAAATGTAAATTTATTGAATGCGGTTATGCCAGGTGTAGAATCGTTTCTTAACTATATGAATTTAAAAAAAAATTGTGGGTCAGATCATCTAAAAACAGCAAATAACAAAGAAATCTTTTAAATTATGAAAGAAATAGAGGCAGTGTAGAGTAATAAATTGCGACTCGGATTGAGTTCGAAACCAGTTATATTCACTCTATTAACTTATGTAGCAATACCTTTATTAATGATATGAATATATCTTTTCTCCCCAGCTACGGATAAATAGCAGGACAGACTAGGTTTTATAGCCTGTCTAGGAGAAGAAAAAAACTTTTAATTCAAATTCTATTGGGAATTAAAATAATAAAAAAAATATTTAGATATTTTTCGTATTGTAACCTAGGAAAGGGTTACTGAATAGAATAATCAAATGAAGGTTAGTAATGAACGATAATACTTAGGACAAGAGCACGGAGAATGTGTTCTACTTGGTCAGGCGTACGAGCGGACCTCGGTTTTCCAGGATCCATAGTTGGGGATGCTACGGATTTTGTCTCAGCAACGCGAAAATAAACAGCACCAAAGGTTGGATGACTCAGCTGCGTTTAGTCTACAAACGTAACCTGATACAGCCGTGCAGCCTCGCGTCCATTAACATTCCCGCGGCCGTATCTAAAATTCATATCTGTCCACCCACGATATGAATATCCTGCCATTGTTAAACGGAACACTTCTCAGTTAACTCACTACTAGACACGTTAAAAGTTGAAAGCAGACTAGCCACAAATGTACACGAATGACAAATGTAACCTAGTCTACAAGGCAACACAGCGCCATCTACTGTAAACTTTCTTAAGGATTTGCGAACATATGTTTATATGGACTTCTGTCCTTGTTTTGGTGTGAGGAACCTGCCCTCAAAGTTTTTAAAAGTATTTTTAATATTCTCTCTCTCTCTCTCTCTCTCTCTCTCTCTCTCTCTCTATATATATATATATATATATATATATATATATATATATATATATATATATATATATATACTCAGTTTGTGCTGTGCTTTTCCTTTTATTTTTGCGCCATTTTCTCAGGTTTTAAAATTTCTCGAAGTCAAGCGAAAACCACGAGAAATATTGTCACGTGACATTTTTTTCTTTTTACTATTACCCCATAGTCTGAAATATTCTAATGGCCCTGCAATTTTACAAGCCCGTCACCTATGAAGATACTTTTTGCGGTTATTTTGGAAATTCTGAGAGAATTACGAGTCCTCCCGAACGGAAAGTGTGACACGGAAATCCGAAGGCGCATTTGACTAGCGAAAAATGCCGTCCAAAAGCCGAGCAATGTATTGAGAAACAGGAAAAAATTTTTACAAAGAGCACTGAACTGTTAAGTAATATCAGTCAACCTATATGGAATTGAATGCTGGACAATCTGCTCACAGATGAAGAGGAGACTGGAAGCAACAGAAATGGGGTTCTACAGAAGGATGCTGAGAATACCATGACTGGACATGAGGACAACGAAGAAGTTTTAAAGAACATGGAAACAAAAAGGACATTATAATTAACATTAGAAAGAGAGATGTTAAATTTCTAGGGTACATAATTCAATTATGTGCAGCCCTGAAACTGGATAATTATACTCACTCAACGACTCCCATGCATCGTAGACTTGGGCATTTCAATGTGGTGTAATGGTTAGCAGCAAGCTTGTCTTACCAGATCAATTACGACTGAATAGTGAATTCGAAACTCACTGGGTGCTCCATGCTTTCGGCCTTATGCCACAACTAATCTACGCTTAGAAAATTAAAGGGAATTTCGGTGTGGTGTAATGGTTAGCAAGCTTGTCTCGTTAGATCAATTACGACTGAATAGTGAGTTGGATCCTCACCGGGTGTTTCAGCCTTATGCCACATCTAAGCTACGCTTCGAAACTGACCATATATCGTAAAATCCCACACTATATCACGTGATCGCTGTTATTTAGTCGAAAGTAGAAGTTAAAGGTAACAGTCTTCAATCTTTTGACACTTCCATTTTGTATCTGAGGACACTATTACCAGCAGTAATGATCATAACTTTTCTGATCTGCTTATATATATTCCGCTATTAATTTTGACTAGTTTTTTTATTTCATGCTATTATTGCGTTAAAAAATGGTTGATATGTATGCTTGCTTTAAAAATGGTTGTTCAATGTACGACCTAACTATAAAGCAACAATAAAGGGTAATTTTGAAAAAATATTCTTTCATGAAACCAATTTATTCGTAAGAATATTTATGCATGAACCAATTTTCTATTTAATGAATAAGTATACTGTTGTGACCAAGTAAATGGTTAAAGATATAACAAAACAAGTGTTACATATATATCATATATTAAACAGTAAGTACAACAGAAGAGTATTACATGACTGAATGTACGTCGGTTGAACCAGCGTTCAATCTATTCGACTGTTATATTTAACAGCAAAAAAAACCCCCACCCCACGAGGATTGTATTTGGCACGAGGCCGAGTTTTAGGCTCGGCCAAAAATATTCCCTTCGAACCCGCATAAACGGGTTCAGGGCCTGTCTACCTCCCCGGACGAAACATTGCCCTGCGGCAAAGCCTCGTCCGGGTTCCTCTCTGCCGAGACAGAGAGTTCGACAGTTTGAACAATCTATGCGACTGTTTCCCCCAAGGCCTTCTCTCCTACTAATCTTATAGTAGGCGGAAGAGTCCAACATAAACTCTTTAGAGGGAGGACACAACAACATATACATTACATTTTCCCTTTATCAAATAGGAGTAGATAGGTTCGCCTATCGTCCTGTTCTTATTCTTTCCCGGTCTTTTGAACAAGAGTAAAGGTTTATTCCTTGTTTCCTGTTTAGAACTGGATTTCTGATTCATTCTAAAATCTATTTCAACTCTATACGCCTAACGTTTCCGTCTGAACTCTAACATTCTTTTTACTATTTCCTTTTTATTTTAAATTTTATTTTTGCTTCAATATGAGTAGACGGGTTCGCCGAGGGTACGGTTAACGCCCCTCTTTTCTCTTTTGGGCAGGAATAGAGGTTTATTCATTGTTTTCTCTTTAGGATTGAATTTCCAGTTCCTTCTGATGTCTTTTCACTTTCCAAGTCGCCCCTTGCGTCTTAGTGCCATTTTCGCTTTGTTTGAAATGAATTGATTAAAAAAATGTAACCTGAGAAATAAATTTTTCATATAGCTTTAAGATTACTTTACCGTTATATAGCGATTTACTAAGCGTAGCTTAGATGCTGCATAAATTAAGGAGCATCCGGTGAGGCTCGTGCTCACTACTCAGTCGTAGTTGATCGAGCTAACCACTGAGTGATTCGTTTTCTACGGCTTATCAATCCTTTGCAAGTTTTATAAAGCCAGAAAATATTTTAGAGTGTAAGATGTTTTTGCTGAGATAATAATAGTTTAGTGATGCAAATGTTACTAATTAACCCATAGCTGGGGAGAAGCGATGGATTCATACCTCTCCTTAGGGTATTTGCACGTAAGTGAATCTAACAAACCCGATGGGAATTGGAACTCATGTTCTCCGATTAGCTGTTCTGAGCCAGTACACCACCCGCACATCCAAACTTATAGCACATAGTATTTCCAAGCGGTCACCCATCTAGGTACTGAATAAGCTCGACGTTGCTTAACGTCGCTGATTGTACGGGAACCGGTGTTTCAAGGTGATTTAGTCGTAAGCCCAGTTCATCATTACACCACGTAGAAGTTATATTGGGTTAACCAAAATGTACTTCCGGTTATTATGTAGATAATTTAATAAATTGAACGAATTTTTTGACCAACCCACTACGTTAGTTGTTAAGCATTCAACTCCCAAGAGGATGTTTCCCTATTACAATGTTAACCTGTTCAAAACTAAGGTTAACCGTTATCTTTCCCTCTTATCCACAAAGATTGCCTCCTAATGTAACCCTCTACCTCGAGTGGCTCCTGGGCCTTGCACAGAGTGAACCTTACTGAAAGGAAAAATAATTCTACTTTTCCCTCCCTTAGTTCCCTAATTAACACTTATGTTACGCTCATAATACCTCATAAATAATGGACTATTCCGTTTTGATCACGTGGAAAGACAGAAAAGCCATAACAGTGACCGTACTTGGTTTCAGCGAGAAAATGAAAGAAAGAAAGAAAGAAAGAAGGGAAGTTAGAAGATGCAATAATACTGATGTGTTTCACATCTGTTTCAGTGTAATGGAAACATTTATCAATTTCAAATCTTTTCATTTGTTCTTTCTCATTTCTTAAAATGACAACCAGAATTCATATTTATGATTGTTATTACAATATTTTGTTAAAGTTGTTAAGCTCAAATATTTAACGACGCGATAGGAGAATTTCTATGGATGTTTTATTGACTTCACCATGAAATTCTATGGATTGTTTTATTGACTTCACCATGAGTTTATTCCATCATTAACCTAAGAATTAAGATTCATCAGAAAATTCAAAGAAGTAAAACATAAAATTTTCACGGGCATTTTCTAGTTGTTTTATAATAATTTGGTAGAAAAAACCTGTTCTTATTCCAATCGCACACATTTATTTATTTTAAACCCCAAAAGCTGAATTTTTGAATAATTTTGACTAAGCCGCTCTTGAAATTCTTAGAACAACCGGCTATTCCATTCTCAAGATCAAGGAATACATTAACTTGAATGTATGAAACTGATTTTCTACTTTTTATCGTCCTTTTGGGGCATATTTTTGTCCAGATTGGGAGGTACGACAAATAACACTGTGCGTTTCTCTGTTTTGGGACTTAATTTCAGATTCGATGTTGCTTCCCTCTACACCGGTTTCATGGTATTTATCGTTGTTCTCTTCCATGTATCTGCTTGCTTCCTTCCTTCCTTCCTTCCTTCCTTCCTTCCTTCCTTCCTTCCTTCCTTCCTTCCACAACTGCACGTATCGTACGATGTACCCCGACAGAAGACGCCTCTCATCTCCACGATGATCTACTTTTAATTGCGAGTCAGCAATCACTTGCCTGGATAATAAACATACTAGACATACAGGCACCTCAGAATGGAGCACTAACACACCCAGATGTCCCTCCTCGATTCCTCCAACTACGCTAATATTCTGTAAAGTTGCTAATGACCCATTTCCTTCTGGGGCAACAAAAAAGGGCCTATTTTGATGGGACGATGCACTCGACGTCTCTTAAAATGAAGTCCTTCATGCCAGACAAAGATGAAGTGTTAGAATTTAATCAGAACAATATTTTACAAGTTTACATTCTCGCTATTTTTTCTATCCTCACTCCAACCTCTTTTTAATTTCAAAACCGGCTCCCAAGGCCTTGATTCTTATCAGAGATAAGAATATATTTTCTGACTAAGGATAGAGCTGGAAAATAATACGGAATTCCACCACCATTATTATTTCCATGGAGCCATAAAGTCTGGGAGAAACCTCACAGCTTCTTCACTTCAACCTTTTTTCAGTAACTTCGAAACCGGCTCCCAGGGCCCTGATTCTTATCAGAGATAAGAATGTGTATTCTGACCAATAGAGGGGCCAGGAAATTTGTACAATGATTTTGGAGGGAAAAGTCCTCGATCCATCGGAGCCTACCAAAACTCCATAAATTTGGAGAATATTTACCTATTTGGCAGTGAGACTTCAGACCACCGTTTGTAAGGTCGGCGAGAGGGAGCTCCAGTCAACTTCAGAAACACTTTCTAACCAAAGAAGAACTACCTAGTAAAGGGCTGTCGGGAACGAACGTCGACCCACAATTCAAGACCAATTCAAAGCTGCATCCCTTCACCACTCCTTCTGACGAGACCACTGGACTTCTGTCGTCGACCTACGAACTCACTCAACTGCAAGATTCCTATATCTACCAGCACTTTCCTACTCTACAAGAACTGTGAGTGTTTCTAGACCATAACAAAATTCTACTCGCTTAAAGAACTTTTTAGGCGCTCAGAGAAATCTAAGTACAGCAGAACTCTCTTTCGTCGAGAATAAAGCAAATCTTGGTCACCATTTCTGCCATGTGACTCCAGTTCTGGTTCATAATGTCTGCTACACTAACTTCGACAACTGGCTTGCAATAATACTTCGCTAATCACTGTATTTTGATAATAAATTATATTTTTGGACATTTCTTCTCAGACTTACAATACTTGCAGATGCTGGAAACTAGTAAAGAATAAAATTACTTCCTAATTTGGTAAGCGTAAATCCTGCTGAAATCCTGCTATAAAGATCCGAAATAGTCCAATCAAATTCTGGCTGGGGAGGGTAAGCATATTTGAATATGCAAATATGTTTTCTGGTAAATATATTGCTCTGATTGGACAATCCATAAATAGAAGTTGCATATCGTGTATATAATAATGTTTTTTTTTCCTTATTTTAGCCTCGAGAGATAAAAAGCAATCAATACTCGAACGCCATTTTGTGGAAAGGCAGCAGATTTGGACGAAGAACATCTATATCATTTAGAGTGCCAACATAAAAACAGGTTCTTTTTTTAGGACAGACTTCATGATAAAGTGAAGCTAAAAATTTTATAAATTATTTGGTCACCTTTCCAGCTATTTTAACCTAATTTGTCAATAGTTTATATCCATATTTTTTTTTTTACGTGTAAAACATTTTAGTGTTTTAAAAGTTATTTTATTCCATCTGCATATTTCCTTTCAGCCTTTTAAAATTTAATTTTGATTCACATATTTTGCTGGTCTTGTCTAATTATTGACTTAATTCAGCTTTAGGAAAACTCAAAGAAAAAATAATTATTGAAATGAATTAATTAATTTCTGCAGGTGGGTGATTTTTATGGTAATTAAGACATTTTTATGGGCTTTATATTGAACGAAATTGATTGAAAATTTGAATATTGAATATTTCCATTAATATAGGAAGCGACCTCTTAAACGACGGATATAACAGTTCTTTTCCAAAAGTCATGGCGCAAAGGCAATTAAATCCTCTTTGAATAACACGCAGTTTGAGCTCACACTCTCCAGAGTAATGTAAACTTAGAAAACCTTTACCAGAGTCACCATTGTGTAGTTACCGAAAGATAATGTTGTCCTACACTTCTCGATTAGTGAATTCTTGTTTAAAAAAAAATGATCAATGTTTTGTTTTCTTTCTTTATAAAATCAACGATTAAAATTGCTTCAAACGAATAAATCCTTTAAATCTTAAAGAGAATCTTTCATCAGGTGGTACAGACTGTCGCTACTGGATTACAAAGAACTTTACTAAATGACATAAAAACAACATATAACTTGAACACTACCAACAGCTGCAACGCCAGATATAGATAGAACATGTAAGTAGAACAGAAAATAATGATATAACTAAGATGTTAAATTTCCACAATATCAAAAACAAAATGTTTGTATGAAAACTCTCATCAATACTAGAAAGAGCTATAACAGCTCGTGGACTTGAGAAGTCTACTTGAAAAACTGTTTTTTAAAAAATATTCTATAAGTTTGAACTAACATTAGCAATAACAATTTAATTAATAAATGCCGAATGCTTACTGTATGGAAAGAACTAATTTTACGATTATTATAACGAAAACCTACGATAATTAGTCTTCGTTCTCACAAAAAAAAGAAAAAAAATATAACAATATATGATTATCAACCAGGTTGAGTGATAATTTTTTTCGGATTTTCACGGATTATTGTTGATTATCTTGTGTAACCCATACCTATCAAGCCCTTAGTCCACGCACCATATCCCCACATCTACGAGCACTGTCTCTTCTTCCTCTCTTCCTCAGTCACTTGTTGCTAGCACTGCAAGCTTTGTTGTTATACCGACCTTACGGGTCATCTTGCTCTTTTTCCCTCCTCAGTAGTGGCGAGAGTGTTGTCTCGATAAGATTGATCCAGTTTTCGCAAAATCCTACGATATTCGGATTGATGGCAATGTTTAGTGTGAACCCTCTATGTATGTTGTGTACCACAGACAAGATTACCTAGTTCCTGACTGTGGCCGTAGTAACACTTTACGTAACAGAGCAACTTCTGAATCAGAATAAAACTAAAATGCACAACGCTGTTGATAACTTTAACAAGTTTACTGAATATAAAGACAAACTGGTTGAATAAAATGCCTCTATTATCTATTGCATAATCAAGCTTTCTACTGCACGTTGGTTATTTGGGAAATCTAGTTGCAAACGCTAAAGTAATGACTAGCCAGTCAACACTTCCACAGTTTTTGAAGTAATGATTAGTTAATAGACTCTCATTCAATTCTTCTGTCATGCGTGTTTTCTCTCTGGCCAGCGAATTGCAGGTGTGCTCTTTAGCGACAACTGTCGCTAAAGAGCAATCCCGGGCCGTTCCGTGTCGACTTCTCCTGTACCCGTTTTTCCGGCTGTGTGTGTCTTGGCCTGGTGAGTTATCGTTTATACAGAAAACTCCCCACTGAAATTTGACATTGCACAGGAACTAAGAAATTTGGACAACACATTAATGATGTCTTCTTATCGGCGGGAAGTGGATATGGTTGGGCATCTTGGTTTTGCTCAATTTTACTGAATCATGTTTAGTTCATTCTGTGTTCGATTCTCCTTGAAACTGTTCCAAAACTATGTTTTATTAGTTTAAACACAATTTTTAATTTAGGTTTTTAACTAAAGAGGAAGCGTAAAATAGTTTTTTTTTTTTACGATAAGGTGAAGTTTTGTGGGCG